ACATCCTTTGGACCACTTTAGCATCTTGTACATGCCTCGGTTATTTCACTCAGTCACTCACTCACTCCTTTATTAATTTAACAAATGCTTAGGGCACATTGCACCCAACGCCTTCTGGATCATGAGTTTCTTAAAATCAGGAATCGTCTCTCTCATCTTGGGTTCTCCAACCTCTGCCAGAATGCTTGGCCCACTGTCAGGGCTTGGTAACTACTAGAGGTCACAACCTTAAATGTTGGGGTGACTGCAGGACTTGGCCACTCGCTGGCCAGATAGAGAACCTGGGGTGCTGGGTGCAGAGGTAGGAACTGAATGCCACAGGTTACCCAGCTCAAGTCAGTAATTACTCTATATTCATTGCAAATCCATCATACCCTAGACTTTCAAGAAGGACTGTATGCATTCTGTAGCAGTGAATGGCAGAATTCAAACCATAGCACATGCCTGGTTTGGCCTGACATATTGTGCATGGAAAGTACTTATTTTTCACATGTTAGATCTGAGACTCTTAAGAGGTCATGGTGGCCAACTTGAATTCCCTGGAGTTACGAACTTCATTGTGGTGTTAACATACCTCCAAAAATGTGGAACTTGTTACCTTATAAGGCAACCCCATAGTTATGAGGGGCTACTTGCTGTCTCCTGGCTACTTTGTCTATCAGTCTAGTTCTCTTCTCTAGGACCACAAGGAAAGTGATCCCTCCCCTTTCCAATGGCCATTTCATATCATGTTCATTCATTGATTCATGTGTTCATATTATGTATTCATTAATGGAATCATTCATTTAAAAATACTTTTAAGGTCCATTTTGTCCAAGACAGTCAGGTCCTCTGTTCACATTGAACTGACATCTTTAGAGAAGAGAACTAGACAGTTAAGCAACTAAACAAAGAGGATAAATAAAATTATCAAAGAGCCATGAATAAAGAAAATAGGGCAAAATGAGGGTTGGGGCAAATTTTGATAGAGTAAATAGAACAGTGGCTTTGATGTTAAGGTGGCTACACACAGTGTGGGAGGAGAGCATCTAGGGAATTGAAGGAAGGAAAGTGGTCAGTGTGGCTCACATGGCAGTGAGGGAGGGAGAAAGACAGAAAATGAGGATGGAAAGCTGGGCAGGGTGGCTTATGCCTGTAATTCCAACACTTTGGGAACCTGAGGCAGGAGGATTACTTCAGCTCAGAAGTTCAAGACCAGCCTGGGTAGCATAGCAAAATCTTGTCTCTTAAAAAAAAAAAATTTAAAAAATTTAAAAAATTAGCTGGATGTGGTGGTGCACACCTGTACTCCAAGCTACTTAGGAGGCTGATGTGGGAGGATCACTTGAGCCCAGGAGTTTGAGGCTGCAGTGAGTGTGATGACACCACTGCATTCCAGCCTGGGCAACAGAGTGAGACCCTGTCTCTAAAATAATAATAATTTTTTTAAAAGGAAAAGGAAATAAGGATGGCATCTCAGGCAGGGGCCAACCGATGTGGGACCTTGTAGCCACAATAAGGAGCTAAGAATCTCTTGTCGGAGAGAGAGAAGCCTTTTGAAGCAGCAGAGTGATAGATAATTTTGAAAGAGCACTTTGCATGTGGGATCTTGAGGTAGATTTCCAAATCCATAAAGACAATGAGGAGCTGCCTGCTACTTTTATTTTGAGGAATCAGAAAGTTTCTGATTTAGAGGTGAGTTTCAGAAGTCCTGGAGAGAGTGCACCGTAATATCTGGAGCCAGAATTGGGGCATCCCAAAACAAGCCATGGGATTCTCCTCCTGGAAGGGCATCCTCCTTTTCCAGATAGCCAGGTTTGGTGTTTTTTGTTTTTCCTATGTCCCTCTTATGAATTCCTAGCAACAGGGAGAGAAATAGGAGGCTAGTCAGCAGGAGTTTTTTTTTATTTCCTCATGGAAAAGGATGGGATTATCCCTAGTGAGATACCAGTTTCGGTGCCACTGTTGTCGGTGATGGAACCTGTGCTGCCAAGGAAGAGTGGATGTCTCATGGTCAGAACCAGGGCCATGAACAATGTATTTATGTGTTGTTTTTTAAGATGCACATTCATTTAAACAAAACACACACAAGCAAGCATCTAGTAAAAGCATTAACACACATGATGGATAAAGGGCAGTATCCTTAATACACAGAACTCACCTCTGTGGGAAACCAGAGGACCTATATTGTCTTGAATGGAAAAGGATGTGAACGGATTTTTTTTTTTTTTTTTTTTTTTTTTGAGACAGAGTTTCGCTCTTGTTACCCAGGATGGAGTGCAATGGCGCGATCTCGGCTCACCGCAACCTCCGCCTCCTGGGTTCAGGCAATTCTCCTGCCTCAGCCTCCTGAGTAGCTGGGATTACAGGCACACGCCACCATGCCCAGCTAATTTTTTGTATTTTTAGTAGAGACGGGGTTTCACCATGTTGACCAGGATCGTCTCGATCTCTCGACCTCGTGATCCACCCGCCTCAGCCTCCCAAAGTGCTGGGATTACAGGCTTGAGCCACCGCGCCCGGCTGTGAACGGATTTTTACAGAAAAGGAAATGCAGATGGTTAATAAAATGAATTTAATTTCACTAGAATCAGAGATATGCAAACTAAAACAATAGCAGGATACAGAATGTCTTTTGGGGGGAATTCTCTTGTCAAATTGGAAAAAATTTTTTTTCAAAAACTGCAGTGCTGGTGAGGCTGTAACGAGATGGACACTCTCATAAGCAATTTGTGAGATGTATCTCAAAAAGGGGACACTTTTTCTGGGTATTTTTAAAAAAGCTTATACTCTTTAATCCATTAGTACCACTTCTTAGGATCTATCTTATGAAAATAGTTTAAAATGATGGCACTTATTTGTGTGTAAAATATTGGAAATAGTCTACCTGATAATAGTAGATGATTGGTTGACTTAATTGTGATATATCATTCAGTGAACTATGTGTAGAAATTAAAAATTATATTTTGGAAGATATTTTTGGTAGTAGAGAAAATATTTGTATGATGCTATTATGTGGAAAACATCAAAATCATAATTAATAGAAAGTATAAAGCAATTATGAATGTGAACACATATTATATATTGAAATTGATCATTGGATCAAAAATGTATATACCAAGGTTGTTAGGAACTTTCTCTGCATTGTAAAATTATGGGTACTTTGTTTACTTTTTTGACATTCCAATAAATTTTTATTTGTTTTACACAAGGAATGTGTATTACTTTTGAAATCAGATAAAAGCAGCAAATGGTTATAAGTATTTCTGATTGCCCCAGCCTGGGCAACATAGCCAGACCCTGTCTCTAAAAAATAGAGAGCAGTAAGTGCTCCCTATCGCCTGTCAGAGACACCCACACTCTCCCTTTATTCCTTCTTCCATCACTCTGTTCCTGTAATTCCAAGATTCTAGCTCTAACCATAACCACAGAGTGATAGGAATACTGTCATACCGTTTTGAATATCAGCCTCATTCCTACAGTGAGACTGATTTTTTTTGTGTGACTTAAAAGTTAGGAATCCAAAAACAGTTTGATCTTTGGCAGTGAGAATCAAACAATGTGTGCGTCCTCCTGGGGCCCTATGATGGAGTAAAAAGCATGTGGACTTGGAGCCAGATAACCTGAGTTCAAATGCGGCTCTCCTGCTCCCAAGCTTTGTGATTCAGGAAAGTTCCCTGGGCTGCAGTGTTCCCATCTATAAAATGGGGACATGGTTCAGACCTTTACTAGGGTCTGTTTGTGAGCACTCCTCAGATCCTATCTCTAGAGGGACCTGGCAAACAGCCTGGCATGGACTTGGCCATCACATTGGTACTGTTGCTGCTTTCCAGAGTTTGCTACTTGAAAAAACATAAGACAGGTCATTTGTTTTGAGATCTGCAGGAACAACACCTGGAGCTGTAAGGCTACACAGACCCAGCCCTGCTGCCTCTCTGCAGCGTATCTTTTTGAACAAGTGACTTAGTCTTCCTGAGCCTCAGAGTACTCGTTTGTGTGATGGGAGCTAATGGCAACATCCGCCTCCCAGGGCAGTTGCCCTCACCATGGATAATACATTCAGTATTACATAAAAGAAGAATAAGTCAACAAATGGATAAATGCAAAATCTCAGTCAATTCACTAAGTCAGGCGTCCCCAAACTAAGGCCCACGGGCCGCATGCGGCCCCCTGAGACCATTTATCCAGCCCCCCACCACACTTCGGGAAGGGGTACCTCTTTCATTGGTGGTCAGTGAGAGGAGCACAGTATGTGGCAGCCCTCCAATGGTCTGAGGGACAGTGAACTGGCCCCCTGTGTAAAAAGTTTGGGGACTCCTGCACTAAGTTATTAGATATATTTTTTTCTGATTGCAAATGAAATAGATGTTCAATGTAGGGAATTTAGGAAAAAGCCTTAAAAACAAAAGAAAGAGAGAGAGAGAGAGGCCGGGCGTGGTGGCTCACACCCGGAATCCCAGCACTTTGGGAGGCCGAGGCAGGCAGATCACCTGAAGGTGGGAGTTAGACACCAGCCTGACCAACATGGAGAAACCCTTTCTCTACTAAAAATACAAAATTAGTCAGGCATGGTGGTAGGCACTTGTAATCCCAGCTACTCGAGAGGGTGAGGCAGGAGAATCGCTTAAGCCCACGAGACGAAGGTTGCGGTGAGCTGAGATCTTGCCATTGCACTCCAGCCTGGGCAACAAGAGTGAAACTGTCTCAAAAAAAAAAAAAAGAAGAAGAAAAGAAAAGAGCGAGAGCAAGAGCGAGAGCGAGAGAGAGAGAGGGGGAGAGAGAGAGAGAGAGAGAGAGAGAGAGAGAGAGAGAGAGAGAAAACATATACGTTTCCAGCCCTTTGGCTTTATAATGGAGTAGCTGTGCCTTTGCATCTGAGCCTGACCCTATCCCTCTCCCCCTCCCCCTTCTGAACTAAGCTGCCCACTTGCAGGTGATTGTTATCCCCAGCAAGCTGTGGCTGGACACCCTGGTGTTTCATCAGTGCCCCGGTGTGGTAACACTGCTGTTGGCTCTCTCAGCAGATCCTTCAAGCCAGACTTCATCTTGGTCCGCCAGCACGCCTACAGCATGGCCCTGGGGGAAGACTACCGCAGCCTGGTCATCGGCCTGCAGTATGGAGGACTGCCTGCTGTCAACTCTCTCTACTCTGTCTACAACTTCTGCAGCAAGCCCTGGGTGGTAGGTGACAGCTCAGGCTGACCTGGAGGGATCTGGGAGGCAGTGGGTGGCCTCCCATCCTGTGATGAGCCCACTCCCTAGCATGGAGGCCTCAGTAGTAAACATTCTTACTTAAGCCACTAAACTAAAGTTGAATCTCAGGGCTCTTGTTGGAATTGTTGCCTAACAATTATTATATTAATAATATGTTATATTTTATATATTATATATAATGAATATTTATAATACATTCACATTTATATATAGATGATACATGTTACATGTAATACATGACATGATATATATGTAATAATTGATCTGTGTAATACAGTGACAATATGTACTATTACTAATATATAACAAAACATGTTATTATGTAACATATTATGATACAGTATTATAATAATGTCATAAAGATGCACATATTGTTTTATGAACATTCTGTCATTATTGTTGTTAACAGCAGATACCATTTATTGAGCACTTACTATGTCCCAGAAAACTATGCTACTGGGCACTCATTCTGTTGCTCTCATGTGAAGTGAGTGTTATTCCTTCATTTCACGAAGACAGAAGCTCAGCTTCAGGCTGGTTAAGCAACTTGCCCAGTGAGTGGTAAAACCAGAACTTAAGCCATCTCTCCCCAACATGCAACGTTTAATTTCTCTTTTTTTATTCATTAGTTTTAGTCATTCATTTGATTTATTTGAGTTTCCATCCAAATGTTACTTAAAAGAAAGACTTCTTGGCTGGGTGCAGTGGCTGACACCTGGAATCCCAGCACTTTGGGAGGCTGAAGTGGGTGGATCACCTGAGGTTAGGAGTTTGAAACCAGCCTGGCTAACATGGTGAAACCCCTTTCCTACTAAAAACACTAAAAATTAGCTGGGTGTGGTGACACACACCTGTAATCCCAGCTACTCAGGAGGCTGAGGCAGGAGAATCTCTTGAGCCTGGGAGGTGAAGGTTGCAGTGAGCTGAGACTGTGGCATTGAATATTGAACTCCAGTTTGGGCAAGAGGAGTGAAGAAGAAAGAGAAAGAGAGAGAAGGAAAGAAGGAAAGAAAGGAAGGAAGGGAGGGAGGGAAGGAAGGAAGGAAGGGAGAGAGAAAGAAAAAGAAAGGAAGAAAAGAAAGAAAGAGAAAGGAAGGAAAGAGAAAGAGAAGGAAGGAGGGAGGGAGGAAGGAAGGAAAGAAGGAAGGAAGGAGGGAAGAAAGGAGACAGAGAGAGAGGGAGGAAGGAAGGAAGGAAGTTAGTTAGTTCTAAAAATACCACTCCTCCACTCGCTTGAGTGCTCTCAAATCCCTTACCCTGCTTTATTTTTTTTCCTACTTATCTCCACCTAGAATGATAAATTCATCCATTCATTTGTGCATTATTTGTCCCCCCGATTAGAAGTTGTTCATCATGCAACAAATACTTCTTGGGTACTTACTCTGTTCCAGGTACTGTCCTAAGTCCTAGGAATGTGGCAGTGAGCAAATCAGACCAAAACTCCTGCCCCGTGGATCTTACATTCTAGCGAGCAGGGGCATGTGTAGTGCTTTAATACGTATGCCAGATATACAATATGTGCTGTGATCAGTGGCAAGGGAGAAGATAAAGGATGGAAAGAGGATAGGTAGTGTGGAGTTTAGGGGTATGTAGAATGTGCTCTGTGAAACTCATAGTTGTCTGGTCTGTGGTGTTTCGCTATCTGTCTGTCTGATCACCTGGTGGTATAGGGTGGTAGTTGAGAGTGTAAGCTCTGGAGCCAGACTCTTAGGTCTAGGCTTCTCCACTTGTGAGCTGTGCTACTGTGAGCAACCCCCTTAACCTCTCTGAACTTAGCTTCCTTATTTGGAAAGTTGTGATCATAATAGGGCCTTCCTGGTAGGATTATGATGTAATAGATATAAAGTGCTTATAATGTGGCTGGCACAAAGTACACACTCAACAGGTGATAAAAATTATCACTGCCTTAGGTACCTGGAACAAGTCCCATGCAGAGTTGGGACACTCAGTATTTACTGAATGGCTACATGCATTAATTTAATAAGTATGGATAGACTTTACCACTATCGCTATGGCCCTGGTCTCCTTCTCATCCTGCCCTAACTGAGCTTTTTGGCCATTGGCACCCAAGATTTTCAAGTGCCACTGTTAGGAAAGGATCATAGATAGTTAGCCCTTCTCCACCTTCTTCCAGAGTCATCACAAGAGTAGCAATCACAATTTTTCAGCACTAACCGTGCGCTATCCTGAGCCCTTACCGTGCATACTGCGTTTAATCCTCAGCACCCTTTTGAGTGGGAGTTGCTAATAGCTCCATCTTACAGATAAGGAAACTGAGGCTCACATAGCTAGTAGTAAGTGGTAGAGCTAGGCCTCTTCAAAAGTCATGTGCTTAACTGTGGAATTACTCTCCTTCCTGGACTCTAGTTTCCTTGTCTGCAAGATGAGGGACCCCCCAACCACCCGCCACACACACACACACACACACACACACACACACACACACACACATCATTTTCCATAGTTCTGAGTTCTCCTAAGCCCTCCAAATTGACTCCATGTGCTGCATCAGAAGGCTATACCCCAAGGGTTTGCCAACCAATCCTGGGCTGATGCAGAAAGTTCCTAAGTTACTCTGTTCTCAGCGTCCAGGCTCTTAGTATTGAGTGACCCCCAAGTCAGGTTGGCCCCTTCTTTAACCACTGGGCATCCACATGGGACCATAGATTTCTTTATCTTGTTGAGAATCCTATTCACTCTTTGCTTATATCCACCAGAAACTCTCCTTTACCTTCTGGGTGAATTCTAAGCTTTTTGCTCAGGCCTTTAAGGCTGGTAGTCTGTGATGGATCACCCTTCGACCTCATCTGTCATCATCACCTACACCTGATGCCACAGCATGGCAGCAGCAGAGGGTCTCCAGCACACACTGGTCTCAATGCATACCTGGAGTGCCCATTCTCCTTCTCTTATGTCATCTGCTCCGGGGGATCATCCTGATCCCCTACCCCATTCCCCTTCCAGGTCCCATCACCCACCATGCTTCCCTCCAGCAAGACATTAGTATCACAGTCATGCATCTGCAGCTGTCTTCCCTTTGGCCTACTCTCAATGTTCAGCTTGTTGCCTCAATAATAAAGCTTAGTGATGGAGCTCACCTTTGAGCTCTGGAGACAATAGCTAATACCTGGCAAAATAAGCAAGTGTTGAAGCAGGAGGAGAGAAATGGGAAGCTCAGGTGGGCTTGAGCTATTGGAAATGAGAGAGGTTGCAACAGCAGAGAAAATACTAATAATCACATCTAGCATTTTAGCACTGCTGTGGACAAAGCACTGTCTTTGACACGCTGCTTCCTTACAACAGTCCTATGAGTTTGGATCTCTCATTATCTCCAGTTTACAAGTGAAGAAACCAAAACTCAGAAACCTGAACTGATTTCCCAGGTCACACAGCTAATAAGTGGCAAACCGAGAATTTGAACCCAGGGAGGCTGGATCCACATCTACATCATCAATTACCATGCAGCGCTGCCTCTCTAGAAAGAAGGCATTGCAGGCAGGGAGTAGGGCATGAACATCAGCAGGTTGTACCGTGGAGAAGGACCTTGTGTGAAATGCTGAGGTTGTAGTAAGTGCTCATTAAATATGGTTGAGCTGAACCCAGTATTCTGCCTACTTACTAGGACTTGGGCAGAAATGGAGGGGTTAATACATATAGATGATGGAGAGTATGAATGTCCAGCCAAGGAAACTAGTCCTTATCCCATAGGCAGGGAGCACCTACTGAAGCTCAGCTTAGAACAGTCAGATACTTGAGGCCCCAGATCAAGTGGGAGGTTTTGCCATCCTGTGTAACAATGGTTGATCAATGTTCTCTCCTCTTCTATCCTAGTTCTCTCAACTCATTAAGATCTTCCATTCCCTGGGTCCTGAGAAGTTCCCGCTTGTGGAGCAAACATTTTTCCCCAACCATAAGCCAATGGTGAGTGCCCTTTTTTTACTGTTTCTTTTCATGATGCGGAGTGAATAACAGATGTCTTGTCCTCAGTCCCTTTGGACAGAGGAGGTGGACTCTAGGGGTTGTACACTGACCACGCAGACTCTAAAGCAGAGCCACAGTGTCCTTTGGGAATATCTGGCTTTCCTAAGGAAAGTCATCTCTCCAGGTGAAATTCAGGCAGTAGGGCAAATGACAAAGGTGGACCACATTTCTTGGACATTGGAGATTTTCAGCAAGTCAGGGGGCAACTTTTGCTGGAATGTTGGAGCCAGAGGCTGATTATAAAGGTAAAAGATGTTTTCAAGGTTGGATGTTGTTTTACTTGAGCCTTTTGTGGAATCTGATTTCAACTCACATTTTAATAAAAAGCAGTAATATTAATATTTGATTTGCATTGATTGTTGAAGGGCAGTTTCCTTACATGTCCTCTCCACTTTCTAATTTCTGAATGCACCTGAGATCTCCTCTGGGAAGCGGTGAGGGCTTAGCTCAGAGTATGTGGTACAGCTTCCCATTTGGAGGATACCTGGGTGGAAGAGGTGAATGTCTTTTTGAATGAGGTGAAGGATTCTCCACCTCAAGTCAGAAGAAGTTGGGGGTGGGGGAACTCTGAGCAGCAGGAAACAGCCTGCAACATGTCTGCTTGCATAGTTTGTGGTCTTCTTAAACTGGCCAAAGGAATACAAGGCTGTGACCCTGTGCTTGGCCTTGCAGGGAATGAGTCTTTGGGAACAGAATAATTAATAGGGTATCCCACAGTCCCAGCTGGGGACTTAAACTGTGGCTGTTTGTGGAATCCGAGCTCAAGCTGCTGGGCTAGACAGCCCTGTTTGGAGACACTGATGGGTAGGACTGCAGGTTCCAGGAGGAAGCAGTCTAACCAAGCAGAATTTTCTGTTGATGATCTTTCGCAAGAGTCACAGAATCCAGAATGTGCTGGTTGAGATAAGAAAGGCACATGTCGGCCTGGTGCGGTGGCTCAAGCCTGTAATCCCAGCACTTTGGGAGGCCGAGGCGGGTGGATCTCGAGGTCGAGAGATCGAGACCATACATGGTGAAACCCCGTCTCTACTAAAAATACAAAAAATTAGCTGGGCATGGTGGCACATGCCTGTAATCCCAGCTACTCAGGAGGCTGAGGCAGGAGAATTGCTTGAACCCAGGAGGCGGAGGTTGCGGTGAGCCGAGATCGCGCCATTGCACTCCAGCCTGGGCAACAAGAGCGAAACTCCGTCTCAAAAAAAAAAAAAAGAAAAGAAAAAAAAAAAGAAAGGCACATGTGAAATCTAGCATATCCCCAAACCCTGAATTTTCCCCACTATATGCGTGCTTACAGTGGAGAATATTCAGAGTTCGTTATCAAACCAGCCTGAGTTTGAATCCCCGTTGTGTCTACACACTAGGTCTTAGGAAAATGACTTTATCTCTGTGAGCCCCAACTTCTTCAGGTAAAAACTATGGATAATGGTGGAGCAACCTCATTGAGTAGTTGAGATTTCATGGGATCCTGTGTATAAAGTGCTGCACCTGGCATATGATAGGAGTAGCTTTAAAAGAAGGGTGAACACTACAACCTGGAACTTTGTCAACGGTGGGATGAAAGTTGGGTGAGGGGTCTGCAGCCAGCCCAGCCCATTGACAGGGACAGGCTCTGCTGTAAACTCTGAAAGGAGGTTGTTATAAGCACTGGGAAAAGGTCACCAGCTGTCGTGAGACCTCATGAGTCCCTGGTATTCCCAACTAGGCCAAGCCATACTTGGAATTTCAAGCAGGCAATTGACAGCAAAGACTGCTGTTTGCAGGCTGCCCCTCCCCACCTCCACCAGGTTGGATTCTTAGGAAGAAAACAAGGAGGGCTGAGTGAGGACTCCAATCTGGGGATATTTGTACCACTAGTAGGTGATTACATACAGATATATTAATAGATCCAGAGTCAGCAGAACTAGGGAAGACTCTAGCAATAGAATCAGGGAGCAAAGTCAAGGCAGAGCACCTCTCCTGAGATTTCTTCTGCAAGGGAAAAGGACTAGAGTGGGGTGGGGTCAGGCTGCAGAAGTGCATGGCAGGAGGGATGAGTCCAGGCCTGGAGTCGGGGACAGACTTCCAAGGCCTGCTATTGTGTAGGTAACTCCCAGTGGCAGTCAAAAGACAACAAGGCAAGAGACAGCAGATGTGTGATAGAAATAAAACCACTTTACTGTTTAGAATAAAGGACACACTATAAAAAGTGAACATTATGCAATATTACAAGACAATATACATTTACGGAATATAAAATTCATAAATAACATGGAGGAAAACTGTAAACAGTGCTACAAAATTTAGCAACAAATACATTCCTTCTAGACAGGGTTTTCTCTAGTTGGTTTCTCTCCATCACTTCTGGGTTTCAAGACAGCAGACTGGCTAAAGGGAAAGGTAGTTGGGAGAATTTAAGAAGCCCCTACCCCCAAAACATAAACCGTTCTCCAAGTTCTTCCTTTCCTCTTACCTCCAAAGAACCAGTTTGGAAGTTGTTATCACATCTACCTCCCCTACTTTCTCCCATTTTGGTTTGCCTTTGCCATCAGATTTTTATAATTTTCTCTCTGACTCTAGTGACATGTTTACCTTAGGTAGCCGAAGCCAGACACTTGGGTGCCATCTTGGTGTAGTCCAGATTGTCAGTCAGCATGTGCAAGATACAGGTCTGGGCACAGAAGGGTAGTATCTCCTGGGGGACACAGTGTCCCCTAGACAGGGCTATTTCGAAAAGTCATTTGTTTCTTTAATTGTTAAGAACCGTGTTGCCACTACGAGGCAGATCTGGAACTAGGGGAGGGTAAAGACAGGAGTCTCCCAGTATTACCTGCCCTGGACAGAGCAGAGCACTGGCCTGAGAGGTGAGAGCCTGGGCATGGAGCTTCCTTGACTGGAAGGCAGAAGAGATGCCCAAAGGAGGCAATGAGAACTTGGAATTATATCTCTCATGGCCCTGGATTCTTAGGAAAATCATGGCCTCCCAACTGGAAGGATAACAGAACTTGGGGTGAAGTAAATGGTAGTCTCCCCAGGGCCAGGTGGCATAGAACAAGAACATGAATGTACTTTAAACTTTTTTTCCTACTCCAGGAACCATTGGGATTCCAATAGGGAGGAGGCTGGAGGAGTCTCAGTTCCTTCTAGTTCCCTCAATTCACCAGTCTAGCTGCTTGCCTAGAAGTATTTTACTTTCCATTCCACTGTAGAATTTGATTCAGGAAAATGGCGGCATGTGGGTTTCTTTTTTTTTTCTCTTAAACACAATGTACACATATTACAGCCTACACATGACACAAGATTTAGCAAAATAAAATGTTCACGATATGATTGAAATACAGAAGTGTCTCAGCTACATAAATGACTTTAAATTATACAGTAAGTGAACGGGTGAAATAAACAAAGCTATAGCTTATAGAAAGCTCAAAACCGCCCTCTGACATTGCTTTGCGAAAGACCCTTCTTTGTCCAGGGCCTTCTCACCAAGGCCAAACAGATGGGGCTGTGGTTCTGCTAATGTATCAACTCTGCAGGGAAACTTCAGGTGCCTCACGCTCAGCCTTCACCCAGGGCCCTCCTTGTGTGAGAGGGGCTGACCACACCAGGGAGTGAGAATGGCCAGATGCCTCACAGAGAAGACATTGATGTCCTCTTGTGGGATGGAGCTTGCGTAGGTTGGTCAGTCATGCCCCACCATGTGAGACTTTGAGGTTAAAATAAGGACAATCCCAAAATACCAAGTCTGGGCTCATCCCTTAAAAACCACTGACCTGCTGGCCTCAGCTTCGTCCGTTCACACTGCCTCACAGAGAGGGCCAAGCCTCCCATTCCCTCACTGCCAAATGGCATGACCACAAAGGGAAAGGTACAAGGTAATGAAATCGATCCCAAGGAAACCCAATGCCTGTACTGTCTTCCTGATCTGGGGTTCTGCCAAGCACCTTGCCTGGGCATTTGTGTGTGTGCAAGACACTATGATGTGCTGTCTGCTGCTTTTTTTTTCTTCTCCTGTTTCAATTGGCAGCTCTGTTTCCTAAAGTGGAATGAACTGAAGATATAAACACTAATAGAAGATAAATACCCATAAGCTGAAAAAAGAGAGAGCAATCATGTTCCATGTCACCATCCTACCACTCCCCATTCTGTAAAATATACATTATCACCTAATCTTAGCATCTCATTTTTGACACTAAAACTTAAAATAATTTTATTTACTAGGAGAACTTATATTATAGTTTTACTTCAAAACAACACAACAGAAACCCTACAACTCATTGCAGACTCAGGCTTCCCCAGTGACCAACAGTTTTAATTCCAAGAGATGAGGATCTCAGGAGGTGGCATTCACCCACCAGGGAGCTAGGGAAAGGGGACCAACCTGTCTCTACACCCAGGAGAGGAGTCCCTCCAGCCAAGGCAGGACACTGCAGCTCTCCCTCCTGTGCCCAGGCCATTGACTACACTCTCATCTGCCATCTGAGCCAAGCCAGGAAGGCAGTTAAAGGAAGGCCCCCAAATATGAAGCAGGGAAAAGGAGACGGACAGAGGTCAAATGACCTGTGATAGGGAAGAGAGGGTGCTGAGGGTGTTCAGAATTTCAAATTTTAATTAAAATGAAAAAAAAAAAAAAAAGTCAACTTGGAATGTCATGATTTTCTTCAAACAAGCAATAACAACAAAATAGAAGAGATTAAACTATTGGCATATTTAACAGCATTGAACAGAATTCTGTGTCCTGTAAAAAAAAATTAGCTTATGTCCCCTTGTGGGTATATGCAAAGGTGTATACAAACATATCCCCCTAGGTGAGCTAAACATTATTCTGGAAATAATATCCTCTACCCAAATCTACTTGGCTATATCTGTGGATAGTGTATGGTGTGTGTAGGTCTCCAATTTACATAAAGGCAAGCTCCCGGCCAAATCTACCAAAGAGTTTTCCAGGAGGAAATCTGGTGGGAGGT